TTTTTATTAGTACGCTATTTTGTGGCTTTCCCAAAGGCGTTTCTATCCTTTTATAAATAAGCTTGATTTGTGTGCTTAGGACCTCGTATTTTCTGGGTGCTTGTAGAATACATTCTCTACGGCTCATCAAGACTTCTTGATCTAGTTAGCAAGGTCGGGGACAACGGATTAGAATAGCTTATCGTGTCACTGTATCTTTGACCTTCGTTCCGTTTACCGAGTAAGGTGAACTCGAAGCATTCAAGCAGTTGGAAACAGGACCATAAAATGAGAATTTATGAGGATAACGTAGGAATTATCCAATAATTATTTTTATCTAATCCTCTTATAACACAGCTTCTGTTCAAAAGTTACTGTCTGACATATCATCTAGGTTAAATTCAAGAGTTGTTGGATGCCTCCTTAGTAATCGACAATTCACAATCACAAATCAAACTATGCTGTATGTATTAGTAACTCATAAATGAATAAAATAAAAGATGAAGGATATTAGTTGGTTCGACCACTTCTCACTTCAGGAATACCAGCATTTAATGTTATTATTTGTCGTGATTTTAGAATGCAAAATGTTTTTATATACAAACTTACAAGGTTGTGGTGTATGCTGCTTATGTTGTTAGATATAATTAGTATGTAACATCACTCAGAAGTGGAATACAGATGGCAGAAGGTTAAGAAGATCAAATTGAAGAGAACAGGAATGTCAATAGAGAATAAATGTAATGACAACTGGAATGAAGGGACAATGGAGTTTGAGATCATTGATGGATGATTTACAAATGAAGTATTTAATGTAAATTCTTTCATGTTTTACGAAAGAACTTTGTAATTTGGTATTGAATAAGTAAATTGGTTTTCCCCATCTGAGCTCTCGTTTACTACAAGATAATCTTCTGAATTGTTCAGCCACTACAGTCATATATAATTATTTTAAATTTGCGTCTCACGTGTATTCTACGAGAAATGGATGTGTGATACAATAGGGCGAATAGTGTGGTAACTTAACTTTGAGACTATCATACAAAGAATTATTATCTATACTTTCATATTATCATATTTCTAAGCTTTCATTTGATCCATAAATCGCCACCATATATATTATTATTCCAGATTTTTCATTAATTAATTATTTGCCTATCATCCTGGTCATGTACCACTTATGACTGATCTATGGACACGCTGTAATTATTATGTTACTGTGCAGTTAGACATTCAAAGCGTATTATTATCTGAGTTTTGATCATTATTAAATTGAGTGCAATAGAAAACTGATCTAATTTCTATCCTCGTCTTCTGATTAACCACTGGGTTAGGAGCTTGATGACATATAAGCTTTGATGTTTTATTTATATTAGTTGGTTGGTGTGTCACTTGGTAAATGGATCACCAGTCCTATTGGAAATACAGGTGAACTAGTCAATAACCATTTTGAGAGGGAGGTCGTACTGCTCGAGTACACAGGACAAAATAACCCAAGTAAACAATATGTTTTTTCATCTGACATAACACAATACTTTACCAGTCATTGGCTCACTTCAGTTCTGAAGACTCTCACTCTCACAAACACAGACTTCCTCACATTCCCCTAGCCTACAATAAACCTTAAGCCTAGACGCAAACCTACCAAAGACTGAACCCTGTACAGCTTCGTTACTTTAAACGTCAACGACAGAATGTATCCCTTTTTTTAAACAACAATTCTTTAGCTCACAACTTACGAGTTATTTATTATATCCAGTTGGTCTAGGTGGTTTAATGTAAAAAAGTCTTTTCCTTTACAATTTAGCCTCATCTGAAGGAAAACGAGTAAATATCATTTTTAGTTATTTCTAGCAGGGCCACTACAAACAACCAAGGAATCAGTGTGTTCATGAGTAACGTATTAGCCTGTTACAATTTGTGATGACTGAAATATTTCTCACCGTCAATCATTTATTTTTCCACGTTCATATCTATACAACTGGTTGAAGTTAGACATTAACGTCGTCGGATGATGGTTTGGGGGTAGAGGTTTAGCGTTTGCTCACAAAACTGAAAGTTCTAGAACAGGTTTGTGATTATTTAGTTTTTGATTGAGATCATGAACCGATTGGTGCTAGACTACCATTGAAAGCCTGGAAGAACTGAACGGCCGTCTTGTCCTATTGTGGGACTCCTCAGCAGTGTGCATCCACGATCCCACCCGCGGGATTTAGACCCAGGGCCTTCAATCTCGCGCACGAACGCCTGACCTCCAGACCACTGAATCGGCATCCAACGGTGTTAATGTCTAACTTCAACCAACCCACGAAATCCCACGACCATCTTCCACTGTAATGAGGTAGATACCTGTCTCTGCCCGACACGGATTAGCTCCAATGATTATGGCCTCTCACTAGAACTCCGAGAATTCTCTCACGAAGCTAGTAACTAGTGAGCACATGGTAATTATCAGTATAGGGTTGTGGAGATTAAGATGAAGCGGCCGTCCAGTACTTCCAGGCTTTCAATGGTGGTCCAGCATCAATAAGTTTATGATCTCAATAAAAATTGGTATTATAAACATATGAATAATTGGATTAGTGCTCATGTTATCCTACTAAATTCATATCAAACAAGGGATAACTGCTTGACGTCGGCCACATACGACCTTCTTGCGTTAGCTCCGTAATTGTTGGGACCTTACCGCCGGAAAAGGAAATCCGTGGGATAAGGTGAGGTGTGTATTTTTAGGGTCGACCCTTTCCAACCTCACCCTTCCTTGTGGAAAGGCAGCATCGCTGTTATGCTAGTTGTCTGAAGGAAACACCTTACTGAAGTCACATCTCTGTACAATGAGCAGTACGACTTCGTCCTCGGACATTGGATTTGCTGCTTTTAGTCTTATCGCTCTTCAACAGACCTGCTTGGCACAATAAGGCCTTGGAGAAGGATTATTCCAGACAGTATAGCTCGACTGGTTCATCACGATAGGCAAGCCTGACCAGCACGTCAAGGTAGCAGCAACGTTCGGGAAACATGATATAGTCTCCGGCCAAACATTTCACCTGTAATTACATAAATATTTCTGTTAACTTTATTCACTTACATTTATTCCAACTATCAATCTCAAGTTAACAGTACACCCTTGTCATTTTGACACCACTGATTTTATTTTACAAGCGATCCATAATTAATAGGCGGTTATTGTAAAATACATAAATGTGTTAAACTTAGTCATTCTTTAAAATCACGAACCGATATAAGCTGTACAAAAATCGAAAACCTGGAAATACTGGACAGCTATTTCGTGCTAGTATGATACTCTTCAGGAGTGTGCAATTATGACCCTGCACACAGGAATTGAACCCAGAACCACCAATCTCGCGCTCAAAAACCCGAATTATAGATCAAGTCGGTAGCCAATAGTGTAATATATAACTTCAACCAATCCACGACATTGTGTGACCATCTTCCTTTGTCTTCGATGGATAACTGCCTCGTACGCGATACGGTTTAGCTTTACTGGTCACGGATTTTCACTAGAACTCGAGAAATTTCCTATTAAAGCTAGTCACGATTGAGCACATGGTAATTGTCAATGAAATTCAACAATTTCTACAACAATGCATACTGACACTTGACCATTCTTTTAAATTACTAATTTACACTGTAACTATGAACCCGAATCGAATTTATTAAACAGAATATTATTCATCCATCTATATCTATTTTTTAATATGATGAAAATTGTTTGAACACTTTACACATTTAGTTCTGTAAAATAAAGTTCTCAACAATTAAACAAAAGTTTCAAACGCAAACCGATAATTAGGGGCTCCCATAAAACATATAATCTAACTACTACCACTATTAGTCAATTAATCACAGTAATCTGTCTAGTTCCATGTCGATATACACTATGAAGAAGATTATGATTGGTTATAGACTCCTTTTACGCAAGCTTTCTGATAATTCTACTTACATCTCTGAGTAGTTCCATTCACTGGATGGAGTATGCATGCTTCAACAACAAAGTTTCGAGTTCAAACCCTGTGGCACAGAATTCCGTTTTTTAAACTGTAGAATCATTAACATTCACATATAAAAAAGTAACTCAATACTGAGTATATAAATCTGCACTTGAGTACTAAAGTTGTGTTATATTCAAATTATCTAGCATTTAGGAAACCATTGAGAACTACGTTCAAACAAATAATAACAATGATCACATAGATGAAATCATGACAAAAGATTCTTGTTAGTAAACCATTTTGAGTGTGGTTATTTAGTTGACTATTTCAGTGAAATTTAATTAAAATAATTGAGTTGCAAAGCCACTTAGTTAGTCAGTCAGTCAGTAACAACGTAGAACTTCGTACGTACGTACATCAGTTCGAGTTGCCATACCACATTAGCACAGACATGCAGTTGTCGATTCAAATCCTATAGTGGTAGAGGTAGTAAAGGTATAAGCAGTAATCGGAAACATTAGGGTTTGAAGATGTTATTCAAGGAGTATAATAAAGTGAAATAAATTTGGAAAGAGAAAAAGAAAAGGGACATAAAGAATACAGAAGATTAGAATTTGGGAGAATACAAAGAGTTGATGCACCTCAGCCATTGCAAAACGATTTTGAGCCATGTCATTCAGGGTCTCTAACCATCGGTTGCTATCATCTCGCGGTCCCCAACCAAATAGTCTACACCTACCAACATGGCTCAGTCCACTTGTCAGTGACTTCATGGACTTGTACCATATTTTGGTCTGGCTGCCCCTAGCTTTCTTCCAACTTACTCCTACACCACAAAAAGTCGCATATCGGGGCAGTCGGTAGCTCTAAGTTCTCTTTCTAAAGCCACTTAGAAACAAAAATTTAAAGGACTGAAAGATGAAAACAAATATGTTTCTTGAGAAAAACGAAACAAAGTTAAATTACATAGTATTATTATTATTACAATTAAAAAAATATTTCCGTTTCAATGTAAAAAAAACAAGACATCAAAAACATGTTATTAAAATTAATGTAGAAAAAAAAGCGACGGGATCTGTCATTTAGAATTTGTAGCGAATCTATTTTTCAATGGTCAATATTTGGACTGTATCAAGGATTTTTGGGTAATTTTCTGTTCATTTATTATGTAATTGCTATATATAAAATCATAATTTTCACTGAATATTTCATCAAAAGCTCTAACTTTTCTTTCATTTCTTTTTTTCATCTGAAAAGTTGAGATCCACTACAGTGGCGTACTGTCGTATGGAGCACTCATTCACTAATAGAATGGGAAAATGCTCGAAAATGTACTTTTGTGGAACACTGAAGAGGAATGGATAATCTTAGATAATAAAAGAATGGGAAGTGAAAATTGGTATTGTTTTATGGGTTGTAAAAATATACATACATGTATATAATCAAGTATGTGTACAAAGTGAATAGCTGTAGATCCTCTCCAACAGTCATTCAATGATTGTGTTCAGTTTCCAATTTATTGTAACGATTTTCTGAAATGTGAATTGTTTGTTATCATAAAAAAATTCTATTATAAAAAAAATCATTGAAACATTAAGAAAAGTATATGAAATTAAGAGAATTCTTAACAGTACATATATGCATATGTCTATAGGATTAACGATAGCTTTCTGGGTAAGGTGATCAACTTTCATCTACAAGATTGCAAACTTGAGCCTCAATTAACTTAATTTAGGGGCACTCGGATAGTATTACTTGCCCATACAGAAAAAGTACAAGTTAAAGTCGAGTATATGATCTACTAGGTGTTTTGAAGTAATAGGCAAGAAACCTTACTCAATCTATATTTCATCTCAGTCAATACTCATCAGCAAGACGTAATTCCAATCTAGATGGAACTGATGCAACTCGTAGGACTGGAACTTGCATCACATTCTGACACGTTAACACTGAGGCATTTGGGCAGCAAGTACTCACTTGGCAAATGAGTTACAACAACATCACTATTGCAACGCCAATTCATCACTGATTCATTATCACAACAATTCAATTCAACGAGAACAATATAGCCTAAAATGTAGTCACATTGAATTTCTCATTTGGTTGTCATCAGAGATCATTATAATTTTATTCGGGTTAATCACAAAAAAGTAAGTCGCAGTTTAAGGCACAAACATTTATTTGATCTGTGCGGCTGAAGAGTAATCGATTCCTTAATATAGTAAAAATTACTTTCTTAATATTCATGAAAAGTTAGCATTGTCATCTGGTCTAGTCTAGTCTATAAACATTGAGAAGTTTATATACTTCAACGGAAAAAGGTAGTCGACCTGCAATTACTGTTTATTCACAAAGTAAATATAATGAAAGATGTATTAAAGGATACATTTCAAAGGAACATGAAGGTAACTATGAGTTCAAATCGAGGACGTTCGTCTAGATATAGGGAGGATAAATGGGCTTAGGCATATCACTTACTTGTTCTTATAAGTCAACTAAAGATCAAATGGTAGATGAGAAATAATAAACGAGATACACTATCGGAGGAAGCCGATTATAATTTCAGTCAAGAGTCTTAGCTTACGTGTCCCTGTTTGGGGTCAAAAGGACAAATGTCTAATAATTCAGCCCTGCTAATTACAGCTTCTTAGTTATCTTTCAGTCACTTTACTCGCATAGCTGGTTGAGTAAGCTGTGTAGGAAGCTAGTCTATCGGAACTGTACGATCACGAAACATAATGAATACCATTAATAGATTATACGTAACAGACATTAACCAGTTGGATATGAATCCCAGGTGTGAATGTCAACAATGGGATGCAGGTCTACACGTAATGAACAAGTTCAGAATACGATGAAACATTTGTCCTGGACTCTACTATTAGATATAATCGGTCGATTATGTATTAAAATCTTTACATAACTTTAGTTTAGTAAAGAGACGGTCATGTTTTCTGAAATTTGAATAAAATCAGCTTCTACCATCAGTTTTCTCTTCATTTTTGTATTGTGCGCTAAAAGTATTCACAGTAGCAATTATCAGTATTTTTGGGACGGTTATAGCAAATATAGGTATTACTTTGATTTCGAGACTACTTTAAATGGATTTTTTTTACTGTTTCAAATGTCATTTTATTTCATTTACCTAGTACCTAACTATAAAATAGGCGGATATAACTTAAAAACTTTGAGAAACAAAACTATTTTCAAGTCATCAAAGCTTTAGTATTAATCAAAGAAAGAAGATGAGCAGTCGTGAAAAGAGATATAAAGTCCAGAAGAGAAAAAAAAGAAAAAAAACGAGACTTCAATTGTACAAGGCGATTAAAAAAAGGAAGTAAACCGGCAATTTATACACAACTGTTCAGTTTTAATAGTAGTAGTGGTAGCGTCCAGCTTCACTATATCGCGTCATATTAAATTAATATAAACATTAGGAAAGTATTTGAGAGAAAAAATGCCGAATCATATCATTGACACGAATTTTATTTTCACTGCACCCACACATTTTCCAATATTTTTGGACTTGGAATCCATTGCAATATAAAAGCGTACAGATTTGTTTTGGTCTGAAGGTTAACACTACTTTTGTTTTTATATAAGTAACATAATTCTAAATTTATCGTTTATTAGATCAAATAGAGAGACTTGCGAATAATTTGTACAATTACTAATATTGACCGTAAAATTGTTTTAAGAAATTCTGACCTCGATCTTCCGTCCCTGCTTTGTACTCTCATGTCAATACACATCGATAATCGCCCGAAAATACTTCTCGTTTTCGCTTATTAGATGTCGCAATAATAGAACTTTAATATATTTTGCTGTCTACGTTTACAGATCACATTGATATCTTTATTGCAAGATTCCTCTAAATACACAATTTGAATTATATTAATAACATTTGGAATCATTGTCTACTTATAGTTATGTATTACTAGACCAAAAGGAACTCGAACATGCCTCCTGACAATTTAAGTAACGTTCAATATTTTTCTTTGTGTATAACTAATATTTCGGCATATTACCAATTGTCTCTACTCTTTTTTGTAATAACTTTATCATTATTTTAGAATTGATATATTTGGTCTACTACAGACTAATATGTGGGTGTACCAATCAAATTAAGAATAGAAGTCTTAAACTTTGTTGCGAAATTCATTTGTCCATCGAATTGAATAGCATTTTGGCATTATAGCTGATGTCAGCTCATGATAAAAATCCTTGCTTTATTTTCAATATAGAGTTGTGGAGATTGTTGAACGTGATAAAAATCATGAACCGATTCAAGTTAGACCACCATTGAAATCCTGAAACCACTTACTTTAATTCGTAACCCTAAATCCTAATGTTAACACTTCATACTACCTTAGTACGGTAGGTGAGTTGCCTCAAGGTCACTTTGGTGTCACTTAAAAGTCATCCATAAATTATAGTTTCACCAACCAGATGTAATAACAGACAGAAAAAGTTGTGAAATTAGAAAAGTAGAACATGTAAACGATAAATATCATTTAAACAATTCAAAATGACAGTCATTAAATGGAAATAATATCCAACCAAAATATATCGTTGGCTACTAAGAATTGACTAATTAAGAATTAAATTACGGTGAATTTCTCTAAATAGTTCTAAAGTTCATAAAATATATTATACAAACGAGTGGAATAGATTGTATTGATAACATAGGAATTCCTCAACGTTACAAGATTCCATCTATCTCTGAGTAGCAAACCAATGACTTGTAATCAGTTATTACTGAACTAAAATATCACATCTTCTATACATTTTTAACCGATTTAAAACATAAAAAATGATTGTATGATCGATGTTAATCGATTCAGTGACAGAAAATATGTTCCAATAAAATTATTCAGACTATGTAAGAATAGGAATACAATTCTATAGTAGGGAAATTCTCCACTCATCATCTAACATGACTTAATTTTTTAGTTTCCAATGTTGTTAATTCTGAATACTTGTGTAATTTGAAGAGCATTTATTATTTCAACATATGCTACTAGAATATTTGTAATTAATTTTATTCTACGTCTCTTCTACAAGTGAGTGCTTTTAAACTGAACATTTTTTTAGCCAAACGTTAGATCAAGAAACAAGTCAGAAGATATGTGATGGGTTATAAAGGTGCAGTATATAAATTGACATTTTTCAAAACAAAAAAATACCTAAACTAAAAATTTATAGGTTTAATTTATCACCGATGGATCGCATTTAAGGTAACACTGGTAACTAGAGGGCACCGGATAGCTGTTTCGTCCTGTAAGTCATTCGTTGTTCTAATGGTCAAACGTTTACAGACAGATCTGAAAGTTTGTGGCTCGATTCCTGGTAGGATTTTGAATGCAAACTGATGAAGAGTCCTAAACTAGGGCGAAACAATTGGCTGATACACCCTGTAGTTTCCAATGTTACTCTAAATGCAATGAATGAAACCTACGAATTAAACTAATCACAACACAAACTACTTCAGATCAGCCAGAATCCCTGTTTTTTTGTTCCAATTTCATAATTAAACGCAGAAATATCATGTCTACCTAGTTGTTTGGTTAAAGTTTCAATTTCAAACGCTTTTTTCTCCAACTGTTCTATATCCTTATCGAACTGATCAATTTTTTTCAGGGCATCACTTAGTGAAGCAACTAAACAGAATTAAAAACAAACAGAAAAGGGCAAATAATGAGAAATTATTGGAAGAACTAAGAATAAATTACTTTAAAAACCTTTTCGTAATTACGACGTATAAAGATGATACGAAACAGTAATAGTTACAACTGATTAGTTAATGAGAAGTGATTAACGTCATGTTTGTCTAATTCATTTTAATGCTGATCGTATTTTATCGATCAGTAAATTGCAATGTGCCAACTAGTCTACTGGACTCAATGCCTCATGTATTAAGTTTTTATATTAGATGGTTGAAAGTAGTTAGAAGGAAATCGCAGTCGCTCAATAGAACATGATTATTATCAGGGACAAGATAAACATGACATTAGTCACAACTCAGTGATGAACCAATTATTAACACAAATATCTTAGTTCTACAGGAGGTCAGTCACGGCCCAAAAAGCTTAATAATAAGGCCTCAAACAGTATAAATGGAATGACAAGAATACCAAGTTCTATCAAGATCATAGTTACACCTTGTATGGCAAGTCTCAAAGGGCATGAAATCTGCGTTAAACAGGTTTTCTGGTGAGTGCTTTTATCTACATAACATCAGTGATAAAGTTGCTTACAACGAATTAACTTCGGGTTATTCAGAAAATTTTATTAAATTGAAGTATATATTACCTATGAAGCTGCAGTACCAGACAAAGGCTACATCAGTTACTAACAATTCTTGATCTGTATAGTTCCCTCTTTGATGGTGAAGTATTTATTATCAATGGTTAGAAAAGATGAGTAAAATGGGACAAAACCTGTTACAATTGTACAGTTGTTGTGTCTATTCGCTATATTCATATTTATCTTGATTAACGTGTCCATTTTAACTTCCTATTCTTTTATAGCACTCGAAACTAACCATTCACATCCGCCTTTCATCATGTTAACTTTCTCTTTTGTAGTACTGACGTGAGGTTCGTCAGTCAGTTACAATCAATATAGAGCTTAGTACACATATGTGTTGATTCAACACGATGAGATGCAATTGGAAAGATGAACAGCAACAGTTTTGCAATGACGATTGTGACGATAATAATGAGAAAGATTCAAAATTGAGAATATAATTCAGAAATATAGAAGTAACGGTATGTGCGAATGAATATTGAAGCACAAGATCTAAAAGAAGATAAAATGTGAATAAATATGCATTACTGTGACCTATTCTGATAGATATCACCTAATTATTGATCATGATAATCTTACAGATACCAAACAAATGGTCTGAACCCAACAACACCTACCCAAAACAAAAGTCAATAACTTTACAGACTGATGCCGAATCTTGATTTGCCCACTCTTGATTGTTAGTGATCTCATCTTTTAAATCTTGAATTTTCTATTAGCGAGTATTTTCTGTATATTTATGCAATAAAACAAACTGCACTCATGTGACATATTTCTGTTATCTTCCGAGTCCGTCCAATTCTGACATCCGTATAAAAGTTTCCTATACATGAGGCCAAACCAAGTACTTGTGTGAGAAAAACGAGTCATCAGGAAACTTCTGAAGGATAACTGAATCAAAAATATATGCACAAATGAATAAGAAATATATGTGTGTCACTCGCAAAAGCTTACACCGGATTTTAAGTCAATCATGTGCACCGGTTCGTCAAGAAAGTGAAACTGAACCTTAATCAATAATATGCCCCGTCAGTATTTTACATTTATCATCTGACCTATGTTCGATTGACCCAGAGTATCAGTTTTATATTGGACTGTCTATCTGCTTCTCTAATGGAAAGATAAAACACTGAATGAACAGTAAGTCTACTTTGCCTCTTGTTAATCCACAGATCATATGTTAATCAACTAGCTATATTTTACGTTGGTTTACAAATAAATTACTTATAATGAACCAAACAACGAAATCGGATTTTAACATCAATTATAGTACCAAACTTACAACGGTTGTTCACATCAATTAATTTTCTTGTCATATCATTTGTATTTGTAGTTAATTCCATGTAACGTTCACTTGAAGCTTGATTCATACGTGTTAATATATTGATATCAGAAACAAGACCTACAAAAATATATATTAGATCATCCAAGATGTGATTTTAAATCTTTATAAAAGAAGTTTTATGTGCAAAAATAAAACAAGAACTTATTTCCCAGTGTGTTAAAACAATCAATTTCTAATACTTTTAGGTTTAAATGCAATTCATCTAACTTGTAACTTTTGTTTTCATTCGGTTACCTTAAGTGTATTATATTACTCACTGATATTCAGTAACTGATGTCAATGGCAATCACTTTTGAGCATACAATTTGTAATGTCATTACGTTGTCGTGCGATATTTCTAGGTACTTCAAGAAATCGGCGGCATTTAATCGAGTAATTATTGTAACTTCATTTCCTTGGTATTCTTAATAATCTATACTTTTTTGCATGTTTACCGAACATTTGTTTATCTGTAACGCGTCTGTATTCAGTGTGAACAGTTCCTATTTCATATTATTGTCTGGAATGATTGTATTGAAATGTTCAAAACCCGAGAAAGATTGACTCGCAAGGAGAAGGCTGGTTTTCGTTCCGGTCGAGGATGTACTGCTCATATCTTCATCCTCCGCTAAATGTTAGAACACCGTCATATTTATCAAAGGCCAACAATCGTAACATTTCTTGAAATCAGGGTTGCCTTCGATTCGTTGGACAGGACTGTTCTCTGGGATTGTCTATTGAAGAAGAGTGTGCCTGAGAAGTTTATTAACATCCTAAAATCCCTATATACAAACACCTCAGACAGAATGAAGACATACAACCACCTCTCTCCATTGTTCCATTCAAGCAGTGGGGTTAGACAGGGTTGTCCAATCTCACCATTCCCCTTCAACTTTGCCATCGATGACATTCTGGAAACAGCTCTGATGGATGTAAGTGATGGCGGTGTGGATCTGTTACCTGGAGAAAGACTCTTCGACCTTGAGTATGCGGATGATATTGTCTTACTGTGCGATAATGCCCAAGCCATGCAATCCGCACTTAGTCAGTTGGCAATCAATGTCCGTAGGTGCGGTATGTGCTTTGCACCTCCGAAGTGCAAAGTACTTCTACAAGACTGGCAGGATTCTAATCCTGTACTCACCCTGGATGGTGAACAGATAGAAGTAGTCGAGAAGTTCGTGTATCTAGGTAGCTGCATAAGTGCTGGTGGTGGCGTGAGTGTGAGATCGACTCATGTACAATGAAAGCCAGAGCGGCTTATACCAATCTGGGCCATCTTTGGCGCCTCCATGATGTCAGTCTGGCTGTAAAAGTTTAGATCTACAACGCATCGATGGGAGCTGTTTTGCCCTATATTTATGATACCTGGCCTCTTCGAGTTATGGATGTTAGACGACTCTCTGTGTTCGATCATCGTTTGTCTCCGAAGGATTGCTGACATCCAGTGGCAACACCATGTTAGTAATGCAGAGGTTCGGCATCGTGTGTTCGGGCACAGAGACGATAATCCAATTGGTGTCAACATCTTGAAACACTGAATTAAGTGGCTTGGACATGTCCTACGAATGTCGTTTCAGAGAACCCCACGTCGTGCATTATTTGCCGACGCTGGGACTGGTTGGAAAGAGCGGAGAGGTGGTCAGTGTATGACATGGTGTCGTGGTATGAAAGAAAGCTGCAAAGGGCTGGCTTGTGTTGGTCCTTCACGACTCCCTAACTGGGGTCCGAGAGATGGTGCAACACAGTGGCTAGAGACGTTATCAGATATGGCTCAGAATAGAAGCCAGTGTCGATCCTGCTGTAACCTTCTCTTACTTTCTTCACAAAATATAGTTGTTTCTTCCTTAACTGAAAGATTTTTTCTGGGTGTACCTTTCCGTTTCCCCCATCATTACTATTATTATTATTATACCACCTTACAGTAATCAGCTTGTTATTGCTTTTTTACGCTCCTTACCTTTTTTTCTCTTCGAATTCTCACTGTTTTGTGTGGCGCATATATATCTGGTGCTTTCTTGTACCAATGTTTATGTGTTCAAATAAATAGTCGAAATGGCTACTGTGTATTACATAGTCTATCGAAGTACTCATTCTTTTGCTAGCAAGTTGAAATACGTGAAAGTCATATGCACCGCTTGAATCGAGATTTGTAAAATGCATTGTTCATGGTGCCATTAATAATATTATAGAATTGTAGCCGAATCTTATGTTTGAAATCTCGGATTTTATGCGCCGCTCAAGCATCTAGTCTTGATCTTCGAGTGAAATTAACGTCGACTTCAATTCAAAGGTGATAATGTCACAGGATCAATCAATATGAGTATAAAAACTGCACTGACAAGAACTTATCCTGCAGCAAAATTGATTGTTCTGTCCAAAACATGTTCTTTGACACAATCAAAGGTCGACAGGTATCCCTTTCATGTTACCACCAACTGTGTATACAAATCCACATGTATCTGCCAAAGCAGTTACATTGGTAGAACAGAAAGAAGAGCCTACGTCCGATTCAAAGAATATATTCCGAAAAGTTTAAGATTAAATGGATTGAACGCATTCAACAGTGCCATCGCAAGACATCTCGTTGACACAGGACACAAAGTCGACACACTGAAGTCCTTCAAGGTGATTAATAAACAATCAAGCTCCAACCTTCTGAAATTTGCTGAAGCATTAGCAATCAAACGTCTAAAACCAGACCTATGTATACAAAAAGAGACTGTAATAAATCTTTATTTACCCTGGTAACAATAACCCCTCCTTTTATTCATTTATTTCTATTTATTTATTTATTGCGTCATTATTGCAACTCTTTCTGAAGTTTAAATTACATCATACATAACTGACTGATTTCAATTCATATTTCCTTTATTACCATTAATCTATTTTCATGAGTCCTAATCACTATTTCAATGTTCTGGAACATTCCCTCTCAAACTTTATTTATTCGAGACGAAATTTTATGACCTCATTAACTCTATCGGAATCTTCGCTACACCATGATACATTGATTCATCCTTAATCACTCTCTTATGTATAAGTATGTCAATATCTGTAATAATTTGAATTCCAAATAATTTAGGTTGTAAGCAGCTGATGAGAACCTAACGAAATAAAATGAATTCATATTATTCTGCACCAATCTTTGTTCTTGCTCTTTTTAATATTTGATAGCTTATATCATTGTCAATAAATTTTGGAGTTTGCAACATGACATTTTTTTACTGTGATATTATGCAATTGTTAAGGATTTGTATATATCGCCGATGTCTTTACTCATTTTGTTATTTGTGATAGTATTTCACCCCACCTTTACGACTCGTTCTCTATTTTCCGTGTTTTTTTTTTAAATTTGACGATTGGAAACAACTCACTCCAGGTGTTGTTCATCGATTCATTGTATGCGGCGTTCTACATAAATTTTTATGCGATTAGTCGGAGGACGCAATTCCTTATTGATTATCATTTCGATGTATTACCAATTCTTGGATACCACAGAATTCAATATGTGTAAATTTATTGCTTATATTGTTTGCGTAATATTATCGTAATTCAGACAAATACAGTGTTTTGGTTTACCCATCAGAATCTTAGAGATTTCATACCTTTGGGGATAATTTTGAATACTTATTACATTTTCCGTTGATACCTTATTGCATCACAACTTGGATGTATTATAAATAAATACAATAGAAATAATAACTAGGAATGATATTTATAAAAGGATAACTCTTATTATTTTGAAATGTATAATGAAAAACAAAGAAATATATACTGTGATGGACAATTTTCGGGACCGTTGTGGTGTTATTCTGGCTGTAGAAGTTCAGGTTTACAACGGGTCAGAGGGGAGGACAGTCCTGCCTTATGCTTTTAAAACTTCACTGAACTAAGAATGTTCAGTAACTCGGGTCATAACCGTTACTATGTTCGAAGGACTGATTATATCAGTGACAACATCATGCTAGTATAGCTGAGGTCTGGTAATGTGTGTTCGGGCGCAGTGACGACAACTCAATTGATGTCACAATCTTGAAATACCTAATTCGGTGACTTAAACATATTATATGAATGTTATCCCAACAACTTCCGCACTATGTATTAAGTGCCTATAGTGACACTGAGTGAAAAAAGTGGAAGGATCGTCAGCTTATAACATGGAGCCGTAGTGTGAAAGAAGGATTATATGACTATTATCACAACTTCCAGGTTAAGGTCCTAGAGATAGCCCAAACAGATGAAATTTTTCTCTACATTCTTCATAAAAGCAAAACGAAATCACATTATTGAAAGAAATTCTTCCCCGTTATATTTTTAACTGGACTATAGCTTAATACAACAGGTTATTGACCAAATGATAAGTGCACGCGATTGGCCAAAACTTGACATTCTTTTTAAGGAATGGGGCACATTCCATTGCTGAAAAAGTTATGTTATTTCTTTATTCCTTGTAGTGCATATTATTTTTGTGGCCAGCTTTACGACGACTTTGTCGTATTAAGTAAAATAAAACATTTCTAAACAAAGCGACCACAATTAAGGGGTTAAATTTTCCCTTTGTTGATATTAGGGACTGAGATGGATTGGTATCTACTGTTATATTTCCATCCTTGACAGATCGTAACGATGCTAAAATTAGTTGTAAATTGAATAAATGGTTGAAATAAGGTTAACAGTTAAAATCTGGGAAGTGTGTTTCGTCTTATTTGGGACTTGTCAGGTAGATGTAGTACCTACGCCCCAATGTTGATGTTCATATTGATTACAATCCAGCAACAATGGCTTTGAACAACAACACAATATTCACTAAGCTACTAGCTCTAAACAATCGATAACCTGTTCAACAGGTATTGAGACATTAATAAAAGTTTGTAATTTGCTGTTATTGAGATCAGGACTAAAATTGACCGGTCTCTGTTGACATACTTGCATCCTGAGCAAATCTCATTTCGCTACAGGTCTTAGTATACTCGAATCAATTATCCATACTTTGAAAAAAATGTTGAAAATAACCCACAGACTTACATTCAAAATCATATTCCAAATAATCACGAACAGCTTTAGTTGCTCGACTAATTAGTGAATTATCAATAACTGAGGAATTTGATATGTTAGCTACTGTTTCACTTTTTTTAATTGAATTATTTTTACCTTGTGAATTTTCTTCCATTTTGAAAGTGATGGAAATTCTAAATCGTCTTGATATAGATAAATAAATAAATAAAATGATATCACTTACTTTGAGTCTGATAAGTAAACAATATCTAGCTTTAAAAACTGTAATACTTGAAAATTGATGTTGAACTCGATAACATTGCCATTACATAGAGTAGCTAAATATAGAGTTTAAAAAAAGATAAATAAATAAATACTAACTTTGTTAAGGTGATATGAGAAGTTTAAGAGTATCTCCCCACCGATTATTTAGAACCAAGGAAGCTTCCGATACAATTAATAGGCTAAATTTCAGGTTTAACTATGGACAATGTATATTTATATACCAGAAAATAATCATTAGTCTGTTTGAGTGGTGTATGAACAACAGATATTTTCGTTGAAGTTTTAAGCAAAACAGAAGTCAATGAATAAAATGACTAAGGGTTGTGTAGCTTAAAACCAATGAATCCGCAATCGGTCATGTGTTGCTATAGATGGGTAACAATAGACATAATTCCAGTATATAGTTTAGTTGGTCTAGACAACATCCAAGATTTCTAAGTCACATCAATGTACACAATGATAAGTTAGATAGTGTCTTTTCATACACATAGTTCCCTTTATCATTTTGAAAAGAGCAAGAACAAACATTCTAGCAGAATAGCATGAATTCATTTTTATTTCGTTGGTTCTCGTCAGCTGCTTACAACCTGTGATATTTAAAATCATAATTAATGGGTTTAAATTACTTACATAAAAGAATTTGATTGGAAGTTATATTAAAGACATATTCATATAGTATAGCAAGGGTGTAAATAAATTTAATAGACTGAATATTGTAAATATATACCTTATGTGATGAAAGAACATTGTGACAACAGTTCAAACGGTTAGAAACAAATAAACCTTGATAGGAATAAAATGAGTAGAGTTCAGTTGATAAAATAAAATAAGATAGTTGGAATAAAACTCAATGGTGTAATAAATGCAATAAAGAGTTTAAGGGAAAAAAAAATAATAAATAAGATATAACGAGGGAATATTAATCACCAAGGCAAGGAAAGATTAATAACCATCTCCTTTTGAACACATAAATCAGGCTTTTGGCGCCTGATAGCAACTGCTTCAGCAAACTTCAGAAGACTGGAGTTTGGCTGCTTACTAATCACCTTGAATGATTGTAGGGTATCGACCTGATGTCCTGTATCAAGAAGATGTTTAGTGATTGCACTATTTAGAGTCTTTCTTTCTCTTGTTCTGAGGCTTTTTGGGACATGTTCAAAAAATCTGAGATATGCCCTCCTTTCTGTTCGGCCAATGTAGCTGCTTTGGCAGGTACACGTAAATTTATAAATACAATTGGCGGTAACATGAAAAGGATGCTTATCAACTTTTGATTGAGTTATTGAGCATGTTGTTTTATACAGAATTTGAAGTTTGGCCGCCGGATAAGTTCTGGCTAGCGCAGTATTCAGTCTCCTGTTGATTGTGTTTGTAACCTCGTCACCTTTGAAATTAAGACTTATAGTTATTGGTTTTTTATTGACAGTAATTACTTCAGTATTGTTTTGTTTACGCTTCTTATACAAAACAATACTGAAGTAATTACTGTCAATAAAAAACCAATAACTATAAGTCTTAATTTCAAAGGTGACGAGGTTACAAACACAATCAACAGGAGACTGAATACTGCGCTAGCCAGAACTTATCCGGCGGCCAAACTTCAAATTCTGTATAAAACAACATGCTCAATAACTCAATCAAAAGTTGATAAGCATCCTTTTCATGTTACCGCCAATTGTATTTATAAATTTACGTGTACCTGCCAAAGCAGCTACATTGGCCGAACAGAAAGGAGGGCATATCTCAGATTTTTTGAACATGTCCCAAAAAGCCTCAGAACAAGAGAAAGAAAGACTCTAAATAGTGCAATCACTAAACATCTTCTTGATACAGGACATCAGGTCGATACCCTACAATCATTCAAGGTGATTAGTAAGCAGCCAAACTCCAGTCTTCTGAAGTTTGCTGAAGCAGTTGCTATCAGGCGCCAAAAGCCTGATTTATGTGTTCAAAAGGAGATGGTTATTAATCTTTCCTTGCCTTGGTGATTAATATTCCCTCGTTATATCTTATTTATTATTTTTTTTTCCCTTAAACTCTTTATTGCATTTATTACACCATTGAGTTTTATTCCAACTATCTTATTTTATTTTATCAACTGAACTCTACTCATTTTATTCCTATCAAGGTTTATTTGTTTCTAACCGTTTGAACTGTTGTCACAATGTTCTTTCATCACATAAGGTATATATTTACAATATTCAGTCTATTAAATTTATTTACACCCTTGCTATACTATATGAATATGTCTTTAATATAACTTCCAATCAAATTCTTTTATGTAAGTAATTTAAACCCATTAATTATGATTTTAAATATCACAGGTTGTAAGCAGCTGACGAGAACCAACGAAATAAAAATGAATTCATGCTATTAGATAGTGTCATTAAACAATCCTGTTTGCCTTTCATATTTGTTATGTAAATCAAAACATCAACCGAACAGTGAATGTATGCAAATACTCTTCAATAGAACCTGTATTATGCTCTCATTGATCCATGACCTAACTCCAAACTATTGAAAAGACAATGGTTTGTTAACACTGATGGACGACAATACATGCAAAATAAAGTAAGTATTCCAATCATTTTTTAAGGTATGTTTGAAAACCAGCCATTTAGGACATGAGTTTAAATGTGTCAGATTCAAGGGTTCCCGCGTTTCTCAAAGATAAAAACTGCGATTTTTAAAAAATCCCTTTTGAAGTGATTAGCGTTGTAATCCGAAATTTGCATTCGAAATTATAAGGTTCATGATAGAAAGAAAAGTCAATTTTTGATTGATTTACTCATTATGAGTTTTGTTCAACATTACATCCGTTTTGATTCAACGTGTTGATCATTCAGTGTAATATTTGATTGTTTTCCCAGTATGATATTTTCTTCTGTATAATATACAATATTCTTGTATTCGATTGACATGAACTGCTCAATATGTGATTTGTTATATATGTGATTTCATCCTAAATATTAATCAAAATGGGTGTACAATCAATATATAAACCAGTGTATTTTAGACTACATTCTTTCGTTGTCGTCGTCATAGTGTTTGGGTCTAATAAATCTTCACTTATACCAGTCTTGTGTTCTTACTTTCGCATCGTGGGAATTGCTGAGGTCCATCGTTCCGAGTATAAATGATCAGCGTTTTTCCGGCACAGCAATCAGCGACGACCAAATATAACAGTTCAACTACTATACTCAATTACTAACTAACACACGGTAAAAAAAAATGAATTTTTTTTAAACTCCCAAGCTTTCTCACATTACATACTATCTATGTAATCCATAACAATTCAGACGAACAAGCATACAGTAAAATCATTCAAGTAAACGAAATAATTAGAAGAGAACACATTGACAGAACTCAAAATTAAGCTAATTCTCTATATTTTCTTTCATTTCAACAGAAAAAATAAAATGATACTGAAAAACGACATAAGAAGAAAAATGAATATGAAGTTTTTTTCTAAAAAACAAAAAAACAAAACAAATTATCTGATGTGTACAGGTTATAGTGTACATTTAGGCGAGCGTGTGTGTGCGTGGATAGGTACATATACAATCAAACAAAAAATAAGTATCAACATAAGAATCTTAATTACATGGATCTATTTGTTTATTTCTTCCGATTTAAAAATGATTGAATACGTTGTTTGGTATCACTGAATTGTAAATTTCTTACCATTGCATCTGAAGCTATTGCATAAGCATCCATTAATGGCATAGAAGCCTGTTAGGTTAAAAAAATAAAAACAAAATGAAAACCCAAATAAAACACTAGTAAAAGGGGTCTGTGTTTAACTATTATCGATACCAGGGACTATTGATGCCCCCTAATGCCATAATACAACCGAAGGTTGGAAGAGTCCGCTCCACCTCTCGAAATGCTCTCATATATAACCATGCGTATACAGCCACTACCAGGAAAGTCCTACTCACTGCTTTCTCGTGGAGGAAATTGAGGACAAAAATCTAATGTCCCACCAGTTTGGTGGGTACGGAGGACATTTGGAAAACCCTGATTCCAAACCAATGGTATACATGGGCTTCAGGATCCTGAGGGGACAAATGGCGTATGAACCCCTACTTGATCACTGGGTACCATGAAACTACATCTTCTAACGTTAATCCACTGCCTTGCGGATTAGATCTATAAACCAAAGGTTCAAATGATAGCTCCCTGAGGAAACCACCTGCTTCGGTTTGAGCGCCGCGTAGCCTCCAAGCCCACACATGAAATGATGAGTGTGACGCATATATATTTTATTGACCCTTTATATAAGTCTTCTAACTGAACGCTTGAATCGGTTTCCTAAGCTCTTCTAATAACCTCAGGCTAAATCTACACGGCGACTTGAATACGAGGGAAAACGCGCGAAGTGTAAAAAGAACACATTACTCCAAGGTTAACAAAGGTATGGAAAAGTAAGGGTATTTATACTATTACAGGCGGCCTTGGGCTTCTGGAACCATACTAACTATAGCAGTCTCATGGGTAATTATCCAACCCAAGCTGCGGCATATGTTTCTGTTTTTCAGATGTTTCTGCGAAAATTCTATTCGACGCCGATCGGATAGCAAACTTGCTGGGATTTCTGGACCACTAGGGACTCGTCGAGAGATATTTTCGGGACTATCCTAACACCTTTATACCAATATTTGTGTTTAAATAAACCAAATAAATAAAAAAGCACTGATAAGTTTATCTAAGCCGCCAAATGTGTATCCTTGAAGCGGATTGTCTTGATGTAGTGTTACGTGACAAGTTTCAGTACATTTTGTACATATCAAGCAGTGGACACCACGGAGCGTGTTTGCTGAAGTAAATCAAACTGGGATATATATAACACAACTTGCATAATTTCATCAATGTCATCTAATATAGAATAGGTGGAATGTAACTAACAGTAGGACGAAACGCGCATCCTGGATTCCACTGTTAGCCACATTCCAACTATTCTACATTAATAAATTGGATAGTTATAGAGCCATGATAATAAAAACATCATCAGTCACTTTGTAGACTTCGCTAAGAAGTTTCAGATTAACCTCCATTAGTTGAAGTAGTCTTAGTATATTAACTAGCTTCTAGAGATTTTTCCGAGGAATTATTGGGGAGAGTCAAGATTAGAAAATCAAATCCAAATATAATATGTGATCGGGAATTTATTATTTTTAAGGTATTGCAAATGATTCCAAACCGTTTCTCGTAGATGCAAGTCGTCAACTTTACAAAATGACATATGTACAAGAACAACGAAAACAAATACTTAAAAAGTTTACACTCCTTTGTCAAGTTAGTCAGCATTAAAATATACAGTCATAGATTTAAAACAAACTGTATAGACTTCTATCTTAGCGCTCATTTAATATCGTCAGATAATACATGATACATGGTAGTTGAAATAAATGCACTATAATTTTGATCCAAAGTTAGTATCTATCTCTATCGATCAGTTGATTAAATAGTTCATAATTGAGTAACTATTTCTAATTACACGTATCTGATTATCAACAAAACTTGATGGATTAATGCTTTACACAATAATCCACAGGAAAGAAAATCATCTGGTAGAAGCGGGACGATGCAGAAAAATACTTAATTACAGAAAAAAGCAAAAAATCAAAATTATTTATTTCCAATAAACTTACTTGTTTGTGAAGAGTTTCTCGACCTAACTGTACAACATCTTTATTATGTTGAGTAATTTCTTTGGCGAATTCAATAGACGCTTCATATAGTTTGTCATCTTCAACTACACGATGAACAAGACCCAATTCGTAGGCTCTATCAGCACTGATAGCTTTGCCTAAAAAAAGTTGTTTCTCTTCAGAAAAACCTCAGGGAACAGGATTTTTATAAGACTGAATACATTGCTGAAAAATCACACGAGCAAAAATGTAAGATTACTTGGTTGGAAAGTTCGTGGGGATTAGTCCAATTTAAAGAGATTTTCATCAAGGCCTGACATTACCTAGTGCAATTAGTGACTGGTGAAATCCCAACACGGATGCGAAAATCCCGTCTTTTCGTCATTTTGTGTCGCCACTTATGGAGATGAGATATCCACTTGTCTATCGAAAGACAAGCATACTTGATATAAACGGAGAAACAAAGAAGCTATGACAAACAACGGAAGCTATTTTTGGGGTGTTGTTTCACTTAATTCAAAGCTTGTAAAACAATAACATTTAGTTTTGTCCCTAGTTAGTATATAAACCATAAGCTTTCGTTTGATGTATGACTAACTGCCATAACTTTTTCTATTCCAAAGCCGTCGCAATTTAAACGTAACTTTTAGTACTCTATTTTCTACCCTAATGACCAGCTTGAACATAATTGTATTTTCATAATTGTTTGTACGTTGTGGAAATGTTAGATATCTATTTATTCGTGTATATTTTTTTACGCTAATGTGATTTGGGAATCGGAAATTATTCATGTGTTCCAGTTGACTCGTCATTTCTCTCGCTTGTCAATCAACCAGGTGATAGAATAGTTTTTCGCCTCTCTCTATTCAAGGCCGTTAGTCTCGGCTGGGACTTACGCATTTCTAGCCCCAAGGTTAAACCAGTTGGCCTATCATGTTAAAGCCTCAACCTATATCGAGACAACTTCTCTCCTCTATGTTATTGATTAGACAGATCAAAGACGTAACAAAAGTGGCAACAGAGAATTTTTGTTTCGATCGCTCCGGAACAAAATGTCTACATCATTGGACGACCTTAAAACTACTCTACAAATTCAGCAAACGCAGAGTGATGCAAATTGAATGAAGCTTTTGGACGCATTAACGCAGAAGCTCTCCTTTCATTAAACTTCAACCTTTCAATCAGATAAATATGAAAGCATTGCAAATTCCATTTGTGGATTCAGCTATGATCCTGAATCTGGTATCATATTCGATTCTTGGTTTCATCGTTTCGAAAACATATTTCGTGTCGAATGCTCAAATCCCGATGACGAAGTTAAGTTCGCTTACTCCTGAGAAGACTTGGAACACATGAATATAATAAATATGCGAATTTCATCTTTTAACAACACAGTCTAAATATTACCTAAAATTTCTGAGGAACAATCTTCATCATTCAACATTCGCTACTAGTAAATAAGAACTTTCGTCTAAATTTGAACGAATAGTTTCACAATATTTGGGAGCCGAGTCAATGTGAGACACTAAAGAGGAAGAATATATTTGTAAAATCTCAGCGAAAGAATTTGAAGTAAATCCAACGTTTCCAATAATAATATTCGGTAATTTTGTTGTTTGATTATATTTTCCTTGAAAAAAGCTTGGATCAGATTGCCAGGCGAAACGCTGGATTTCAAATTCTTTCGCTGAGATTTTACAAATACATTCTTCCTCTTTAATTCGCTACCAGTGTTTTGAAATAAAATCCTATCCAAGAATTATCTCACCTATGTTGGAAAAGTAAATCGAGAATGTGAACTATTTAAAATAAAATTACAGCGGATCAATTAAAATGTCTGGTTTTTATCTATAGATTAAAGAATCCAGAAGATATGGGCACCCGCATTGAGTAGTAATCGAACACGGCTTTGCAAATGGTCACAACCGAGTGTCAACGTTTGTTAAATCTCAAATACGGTATCGCAATGGTGCAACACAAGGCGAAACTGTTACGTTCTTAGCTTGTACGATTACCGCGAATACGATTACCAAATTTAGATAAGCGGATTTATACAACCAACAAATGACGCATACACCTGAACGAACGGCCTCGAGTCTCGACTGGCCCTTTTCCCTGACTGTTAAGTACAGAACACAAATCTCAGCCTCCGCGATATGAATCGTATATTCCAAAAGTACTGGGTTTATATATCAGCCGAACATACTACACCATACCATAAATAGAAAATAAAAACTGTACAAGATCAAGCCAAAAAGTGGCTGTAATTAATAAACTGGATATAACTTAAGAACAGTAAGTCGTATGATAATAGTCTATAGGTCAAAATGAAGCTTATAACAAGAGGTATATGAATATACATAGTTTAGTTACTTAACAATAAAAAAATAAACGGTACTAGTCCATAAATAGATTCCAACAGTTATCACCCATTATTCTCGTCGTGATATAACGGAAACATTCCGATTTCGGTCCAGTTAATGCAGTTAAATCCTCTAAATCTCTCAAACAAAGCACAGCAAGCGCATAATAACCTGCTGACAAACCACCATCACTATGTTGGTTTCGTGGAGCATGGCATTTTGTGAAATTATATCCATTCAAGAATCACAAGTGCCGCCATTGTCATCGCATTGGTCATAAAGAAGGTCACTGACCAGCATATAAACGCCAGTCAAAACTTCATGGCAGAAATATGAAACGAAATTCACAGATCCAAATCAAGGAAGTATGTAAACTTATTAGTGAGTGGAAATCTATTCGTCTTCGGCTAGACACGGCTTCCAACGTTACATTGATTTCTAAAAACACGTGGCGTAAGCTAGGATGCCCACGCATTCAACTAACCGAACATGTTGCCCGAAATGAACCAGGAGATATAGTGAAGCTAACTTAAGTCATGTGCGAGGTAAAGTTCAAATAACATAAATTTGATAACGTTTGTTATCTGACGAGTCGGCATGATTTGGATCTAGTAGGCTTAGACTGAATCGAGAAGAATGTTACTTTGAATAGTTCATTCAACGAGGTATGTTCTCATAAACCTTCCTCTGAATCTATCCAAATTTCTCGTAATATTTCTGAGTCATACATTACAGTCAGATTACAAGCAGCAAACTCAAAGTCTGAGGACAAATTCGTACAACTAAATGTACAGAGGTGTGACAATAGCAAGTAATTTCTCTCAGGAAACCAATTTCTGAAGCAATTTTGCTTCCCCACCATGAAAGTTAAAAAAGATCGACCCTATAAATACCACCACTTACCTTGCTCCACAGATTTCCGCCATCGGTAAAGACTTTATCATTACGAACCTAACATTTAACTATTCATAACCAGGTTGTGAAACCACTAAGATGTCGCTTCTAATATCTAGTAAATGCTATTTAAGCTTTAATATTTGATCACAGAAACTTAGTTGAGAAATTTTACGGAATACTTTCTGACAACCAAGCTAATTACAGGCGTAGAAAGGATGTATTTCTGATACATATTAAAAGCTTTAATGTAAGAAAAATGTTATTTCCTTTGTATTGGACCCATCATCACTTTGGTAGGCATCTATTTCAGTGAAGCTGAAAGTCAGCACAAAGAACCGGACATAGTTTTCCCTTTAATTGACTAATCATTATCCACCAGAATATTAGTCAGTCAGTCAATCAATGTGCAGATTTGTACATAGTATGTTGGCCCAAGTCGCCATATTATTAACACGACGAGAGGAAATCAATAGGACGAGTAGCAAATAAGTTGAAATGATGCAACAGCAGTGATAATGAGAAAGATCAAGCGTTGAGAACATGGTCCGAAAAGATAGAAAAAAATGAAGTGAATCCACCACAGCCATTGTGATCAATCCTCAGCCACATCACTTAACGTCTCCAGCACAAAACCCCTAATCATCGGTTGCTAGAATCGCAAGGATGTCAATCAGGTAGTCTGCATCTATCGGCAAGATTCAGAATAGTCAACAGCTTCATGGTCTGTTGTTACATATTGATTTGCCCGCTAGTAGCATCGTCCTAACAATTTCTGTACTAGCAAGTAGCGTTTATCGAAGTAGGCAGCGGCTCAATATATATAATACATATCAAAACCATCTCAGTTGATGACTTACAACCTAGCCAATCGATCTGCTACATTTGCCTTATATTCTGTGTTTAATCTAAACATTGCTCACCAGTCATTCCACGTAAAGATAGAAATGCTTCGAAGGCAACTATGATAAAAAATCTTTAGCTTATGCATGTCTTCTACTCTTAAGGAACATGTTTCGCACCAATATAATAATACAGAATGGATTGGTATATATATATATTGATTACCTGTTAAAAGTAGTTCATTAGCAGCTCGTAACCCGATCGCTCGAACTAATGATACACCAGGTGTACTACAGAATAATCCTAGTTTAATACTACTGGCTGAAAATATCGCAGATTTGGCTGATATTGCCAAGTCACAAGCTGCAACTAATTGACAACCTCCAGCGACAGCAGGACCATTTACAGATGCTATCGATGGTATAGGAAATTCATTTAATTTCTCCATAATCTATTAATTCAGAATTTAAACAACAACATGTTCAGGATACATAAATTTGTCTGTAAAAAGACCTGATGAAACAATGCTTATTTATTTATTGGTTGAAAACAAAGACTTTTGTAGTCAACTTTACATTCTATGCTTCTTTCACGACAATTAGTTGATAACTGAGTAGTGACCAATGTGATGTATTTCAAGTCTTTATTTAGTGCCGATGGAATTCTATCAAACAAGTTGCAATGTAGCCTCTAGTCTAAGCAACTCGATATCCCGTACACTATGTTGAGATGTAAGGTGATGGTTGGAGTTGATCGATGGGAAACACTGGATACTTGATACTTTCCCACAAGGTGTATCGGTAATCTTAAGATAAATTATGCTTCCTGGTGCTCAATCAATTGTAAATACGCCTCAAGCTTACTGGTTATTCGTGGCGCGGATAGTTCAGTGACCACGTCTCTGACTGTGGAGCTGGATGAAGCGAGAGCATCAGTCCCCTTAAGGTTACAGGTACACGTTGCTTACGAATACCGAATAGCACGGAACTTAGGTCCACGGTTTCCCGTCAACTATACTCAACCATTACCTCACACTTTTTTCTCGAAATATCTTTGATTATGTAGCGATGAAACATTTCTATTAAACAAAGACATTGATAAAAAGTTCCCTAGATTTGCTGAAGCAACAGTGAATTATTCAAGGCATACACCTATGACCTTGCTGTAGATTAAGACTAAGGTATAAGGATAGATTCATGTGAAACTGGTGGTATATGAAAGATCTAACTAGTATTTATCACTTTGCATGGTCCACACTCATGATATGATAACAAAATCTGAGCAAAATAATGGTATATACCACAATAAATTACTCTACTTTACTACATGGCGTTAAAAAGTTCAGTGAATTTGGTACTCAGCGGTTTTTCGACACAATACTGACATTAAGTTAGGCCATAGACGTAAAGCACAAGACAACAGACGTGTACTGATTTATATAGTTTCAAACCATCAATCAAAATGAGTAAATTACTTCATACACCGTACATATAAGAAAACCCACTGTTGCCCAAGGTGACCACGAAAAATAGAAAACATTAGAAAGGTGAATTTTAGACGTGACATTAATTCATAAAGTCGTTAACTACTGCCTTGAGATATGTTAGAAATGAGATATTTTCACAATATGGTTGAAAGTTAGTTCTTGTGTGACAAAAACATGTTCCTTATTACATACAAGTAGCCAACCATTTCATTATTATAACCTTATCTAACTACTTCGTACTTCCGCCTTTCTTCTGAGTCACCACTTCATTTTCTTTAATTATCTAGCTCAGGAGTGTGAAAGAATGAAACCAAACATTATTGCGAAAGGTTCTGTGTCGACTTAAATGAGTGTAATATAGCAAATGTAAGTTAATGAAGTCAGCTTTATGCCACATATTTTTTATATCTACTGATACTACCCGGTTGATCAAATCAAATAGGATGTATATGGGTTTCCTTAAACAGTATTATACAGAAGTAAGGATATTTAATAAGTTTAGACAATCAGTAAGCTTAGTAGTCATTACTCTGAACCATATACAAACATTGTAAGCTCTTTTGAGGTGATATATAAACTTCCTAAAACCATTTGTTGGGATATTGTTAATATTGTCACAATATTGTGTTGAAAATGCGCTACACGAGGTAAGATGACAATATTATACGAGAACGATGGGGGTTAAACAACCAACGAAAAAATATGTGTTGTAACGTGTGTGACTGAAGGTTTTGATAAGCAGCGTATTTATCGATCGCTTCTGTGACAGTAGACACGTAAACACGCAGTGGACGACCTAGTGCCCTGATTGGCCCTGCTTCGCTGTCTGTCCTAGCCAGTTGAGTCAAGAACGCAAGTCACAGCCTCTGAGTTATGAATCATTGTATTTCAGACATACTCTATTTATATACTAACCAAACAAACCACATCGTACCATAAAATAGAAAACAATATTTACACAATATTTAACAAGCGAAACAAACATCGACCAATGGGAAATGTACATTTAAGGTCCAAGGCCACCATAGACTTAACACGATAATTATTGGTATATTTTTCCGACTATCCTAACAATATGAATAGTGTATATTAAATAATTTGACTAAGTCATATCTAATAACACCTCAATTCAATGAGTTGCACACCACCTTCAGTCCCATACAGAAGGCCATGATGAGTCAACGACCTCTAACCCAGTACAACTATACTTTATTGCACATTTCAAACTGACCACTGCGTTGCTTTGCCATTCTGGATTAGTGACGTCAAATGATACATGATTTGGAAGTCTTTGGCGTGAAATGCATGAAAGGCGATCAAGCCATCAAAATCCTGTGTTCCGAGATCTTAAAACCAGTCGAATTATCATGTTAGAACACGAATATCCGGACCTCAGTATTGACGTAGTTCACTAAGTGTAGCTTTCTGTATTTGGCTTTGAGCCGTGCTTTATCCGTAAGGGATAGTGATAATACCCAGTTGACTATACAGAAATAGGTGACATGGGACTCGAGTCCACAACCTGGTGATTGAAAATCAAACGCCCTAACAAGTAGACTACAACAGTATTACTAATGTAATGTTCTCACTGAATGTAAGCAATCGGTCAAATACAGTTACAGATACTTATCCTATATGGCCCAGGTTGTCTATAGTAAGTGATTCAGTTACTCAAACTTGATCGAGCAAAACAGTAAGATGAATAGAATATAAATCAATTTACCTCTGATGCTGTTGAAAAGACTTTTTTAGAGTTTGTATCAGAAAATTTGATAACCTCGTGAAGATTATGTCCAGAAGAAAAAAATCCTCCTTCACCAGTGATCACTAAAGCTTTAATATTCTGCGACAACTTGATCGAATCCAAAACCATGAGAAGTTCTTTCATCAACGGCAAAGAAAGTGAATTAGCACTCGTAGGATTATTCAACGTTAAAATATGTACCTCGTTATCGATTGTCGCCGATTTAATATAAGACTTGAAAAATGGGATGAATAACAGGTAAAGAACAAACCAGATGTCGTACGAAACGGAGACGAAAACATGAGAACAATTTTGATGGGTTTACATATAATACACAGGGAAGATTCATTGTAGTTTAGTCAATATAGTGATGAATAGAATGAGCCTAAAAATGGAGGAAACAATAAAGTGGTAATTTATTTCATTTTGAATAGAGGATTTGCACATGGTCAGGAGGAAACAAATATTACATTCTTAGTCCTGAAAAACTTGAGGAAATCAGCAAACCGCATTGAACATAGCCTTATTACTGATAGGGACATGTTAATAGATGGAGTTCCTACGACCAGGTAAATTTTTAAAAACAAAAGCTAACCTTTCAGTAAAATTACAGGCCCTACGACTAAGTCATATATACTATGACTCATACTGTGTAATGAGACCTTATTTGTTAATAAGCCACTATATGGTATTAACCATGTTTTATTTCACCACAGTTAGTCATTATACAAGAATATGAATAAATACTTTGGGCAAAAAATCAGTAGAGAAGCATTTCAAGTTACACATTTAATTATGTATAACGCCAACTGTCAGGATGTTTAGCACAGATGAGTAGCTTGACTAATATGATGGTATTTCACTAGTCATACGTGCTCTAGATAAAATAATTGGTGAATGATGGGGTGGATTTAGTTAAAAATATCTCCGAGGAAACTTTGCTAACATTAAAAGATTTTAAAACATCAAATAGCTGCTCATTAGGCTTTTGGATACTTCCTGAACCATGAAATACAGCAGGATGTAAGTAAACGGCACAGAACAATTTACAACAAGAGGATATCGACTAGTAGTGTTTCTTTATAGATGAGGAAAGCATGTAAGTAATATTTATACCATGAAAAGCATGAATTTCAAGTCGAGAGCGTTTTATTCTGTATGCTTACCAAATTCAATTGTTTTATTAATTTCAACTTGTAAATAGAGGATGTTAGAGTGGACAAGTGTTTTCGATAACTTCAGACCCTACAATTACAAGTCTATGCCAATTGTACTAAATTAGACACAAAATATGTATATAAACGTTCTGGCTGAATTAGTCAGTACTGTAGATAGAAAATAATAGATTTTATGCCGATTGAGTCTCAAATGCGAAAAAAGTTAGTAGAACCGTGAAGCCCACACAAAAAGGGTCAAGAAAAACTATCTGCCCCAAGGTGATGAGTTCTAATCGATAGACTGAAACTGTCCGGGCCAAAACTTGATACAAAATATAAATTAATGTGTCCTAGTTAATGTGAGAAAGATAGTAATCGTAATGTTAATAATCATTATTAGTAATATCCTATAAAATAAGGTGGATGTACGATTAAGAACGTGAAAATGCCATGTGCGTAATAGAAAGAGCATAATTGCACTAATATCGTTGAACGTAATAGTTTTAATATCACAAATCCGTCTAAACTGTCCGTCATTGTGATGCGCAGGAAACAAATCAAAATTGAAAGTCATAGTGACTGATGGCTGGTGAAGGCATGACAACATGCACAAATGAAACATTCATCGATTGGGTTTAGATGATTGCAGAGAACCGCCACTACGTCACGTTGGAGCTACCAAATGTTTCGTAGAACGACGGTTGTAGGTGAGCGAAAAGAACTGATTGGTTCACAGCAGCGAGAGGGTTATGAAGGTCAAGGAGATACATGTATTCTTGAGTGTCATACGGTATCATGGGCGTTTGTAACTTCAAAGGACAACGTAATTCGTCATCGGATAGTAAGGTAGCTGGTGAGAACCCCATTGAAGCATGTACCGGAGTCCAATAACTAAAAGATAATACGGTATCGCATTATCCTAGAAATCAGTCGATAATCTGTTTACGAGCGCTTGGAACAGTCTTCGTAGTCCGATTCGTCCGTCAGTCAGAAGGTAAAGAAAACAGTAGGTGACCTTGGTATTTCGCAAAATTGAGTCTCTCTTACTACACTCAGATCAAAATGCGGTGCTTGTAAAGCGCTCCGTCGCACAGGCAAAGCAACTTTTGCGAGTCTGGATTTTATTTATTTATTTATTTAGACACATAAACCCTAAACCTATTTCCTAACCTTAACCATCAACTGTAAATCATAATTCTAATTTCCCACAGTGGTTTATAACCCTCATTTGGTCGTAGTTATTAGGCGGACACTCTCGTGGTCAGTCTAGCTTCGCTCAAAGGTCGTCTATAAATTATAGTCTCTCCGTCCTCTCAATCCCGTAAACAACACCCCTACTGAGAGAAGGGAGTAAGTAGAAGTCTGAAAGGCGCCAATAACGAGGTATTATGCAGAAGTTAACAAATCACGAGAACGGATGACCGTGCTTTTGATGGAAGGGAAGATGCATACAAGGACGAGCAAGCCCTACATGGACTGAATGCGCGAGGCGATATAGATATTACGTCACATGAAAACCTCAGCCCGTAAACAAACTTTTTTTACAACTGAGCCAGGAAATTTGATCGCTGGCTAGTAAGCTGCCAAGGGTGGGAAGGCTGAGGCGTAAGGAACGTCCGCTTGACCTTGGATACGCCAGGTCCCGACTCTAACACGAAATATCAAGTTAAGACTAATGGATTTATAACTCTAACGAAGATTTTGTGTTGGAGGCATGTACAGACTAGTGTGTATTAAGAATTCTGAAATAAGGAAAAAAAGAATTAGGCCAATTGACTTGATCGACTCAATATATAACTGGGTTACACTAAAATTCAATGATGAAAGTAACCGTTCAAATACCACAATAATACAGGAGAGGAAATAAGGCAATTTTACAGAAAACTGGAAGTTTTGAGATTGAGAATCTGATAACGTTACAAAACCCTGACTTATAAGTCAACAAGAAAGGGTAACACACACTACAAAAACTCCGGGTTCTTGAAGACAGTCTCCAAATGGTTCAAATGGTTCAAATGGTTGTGGACGGAATAGAAGAAGCTTTCGCTTAACAGGCTTCCGTGTCTAGTAGCAGGGGATCACCAAATCCTCCAGGCAGGAACCTAGGTATGTTAACAATAAAAGAGGAAAAGAGATTGGTAAATCATAATGTGATGTTGTTCTTGGTCCTTAAGAATAGGTCAAGTTGCCTCTTGAAGGACTCCTGAGAAGTCGCTTGGACTAGCTCGGCTGGCAGCGAATTCCAGCTTTTGACAATAATAAGAAAAGTAAATTGATTGACCTCCGTCGATCCGTAGAGATTACTTTTTGATGTAAGTTAAGTTTGTCACTAAAAGTGTTCACTTTTGGAGTTATTATCGGCAGTGACATGTAAATTTATTGATTTTTGCAATTGCATCAAAATATTTTGTCCCTAGGGACAATCAGCTGGAAGCTGATTTGTCTTTTCCCACAGAAGACTGTTGCTGATGGTACCCAGTCAACGTACACTAAGTATCTTACGTAAACAACTGTTTATAAATACTTGTACTTTTTTGTGATGGTTGTAGTAGTTTTCCACGTTTCAGCTCCGTATAAAGAAACTGTCTTTATGTTCGTATTGAAGATTGTGACTTTGATATTAGTTGACAGGCAGTTGTTTTTAGTTGAATATTTTGTTTGTTCAACTATAGGCATGCTGTCTTTCCTTTGCCAATCCTGTCCTTTAGATCTGCATCCGACCCTCCTAGTTTATTGACGGTGCGGCTGGCAAGATACGTGAAAGATTCCACATTTTCCAGAGCTTCTTCATCAAGTGTGATGGGTTTGGTGTTCCCCGTGTTCTATCTGAGGACCTTGCTTTTACCCCTGCATATGTTGAGGTCTACTGATGCAGAGGCTACTGCTACACTAGCCATCTTCATCTGTCCTTCTTCCCTGTCCGTCGGTATTTGCTCTTCCTCCCAAATCTTCTTGAATAGAATGTGGAGCATCTTTGAAGTTACTTATATGTCTGAGTTCAGTACTTACTTACTTACTTACTTACGCCTGTTACTCCTCGTGAAGGAGCATAGGCCACTCACCAGCATTCTCCATCCAACCCTGTCCTGGGCAATCCTTTCCAGCTCCGTCCAGTTGTAATTCATCCTTTTCATATCTGCTTCTATTATCCGACGCAATGTGTTCTTTGGCCTTCCTCTTTTTCGCTTCCCTTCAGGATTCCAAGTTAGGGCTTGCCTCGTGATGCAGTTTGACGATTTGCGTAATGTATGTCCTATCCATTTCCATCGTCTTTTCCTAATTTCTTCTTCAGCTGGAAGTTGGTTTGTTCTCTCCCACAGAAGGCTATTGCTGATGGTATCCGGCCAATGGATGTTGAGTATCTTGCGTAGACAGCTATTTATAAATACTTGTACTTTCTTGATTGTGGTTGTTGTAGTTCTCCAAGTTTCAGCTCCATACAGTAGAACTGCCTTGACGTTCGTATTGAAGATTCTCACTTTGATATTGGTTGAAAGTTGTTTTGAGTTCCATATGTTCTTCAATTGTAGGAATGCGACCCTTGCTTTGCCGATCCTCGCCTTTACGTCTGCATCTGAACCTCCTTGTTCATCGATGATGCTTCCTAGGTATGTGAAGGACTCTACATCTTCCAGAGTTTCGCCATCAAGAGTGATTGGATTGCTGTTCTCCGCTTGAATTTGAGGACCTTGGTTTTCCCTTTGTGTATGCTGAGGCCTACTGATGCAGAGACTGCTGCTACACTGGCTGTCTTCATCTGCATCTGTTCGTGTGTACGTGATAGGAGGGCTAGGTCGTCTGCGAAGTCCAAATCGTCTAATTGATTCTGAGCTGTCCATTGTATTCCGTGTTTTCCTTCAGATGTTGAGGTCTTCATAATCCAGTCGACCACCAGAAGAAAGAGGAAGGGAGAGAGTAAACAGCCTTGTCTGACTCCAGTCCTTACTTGGAATGCATCTGTCAGCTGTCCTCCATGCACTACTTTGCACTGTAGTCCGTCGTATGAGTTCCGGATAATGTTGACAATCTTCTCAGGAACTCCGTAGTGTCGAAGAAGTTTCCATAATGTCCTCCTATCTACACTGTCGAATGCCTTTTCATAATCAATGAAGTTGATGTATAGTGATGAGTTCCACTCAACTGATTGTTCGACGATGATCCGTAGTGTTGCAA